AGCCAGCACACCCACAGCCCAGACAACAATCCCCCTGCAGCGTGGTGGAGTGCTCTTCATCGGGGCCAATGAGAGTGTCTCACTGAAGCTTACTGTGCCTAAGGACCTGCTGATATTCCGGGCCTGCTGTCTGCTGTAGAGGCCGCAGCTTCCCTAGCTCTCCTCTGCCAGTCACCCCAAATCCTGGCCAGCCTCACTCCCTTGGGCCCAGCCCAAGCCCCCTTCCCTTATCTGGACTCCCTGGGTACATCCTGGAAGAGCTGGGATGGAGGAGTGAGCTTGAAGGTAGTGACTCCTGAGTACACCCAGGATGAACCATCTTTGGGGAGGGGCCTGATAGTCCTTGTAGCTGCTCGCCACTCCTTGCCACACCTGAGCCAGACTTTTGCCAACTCCAAAGGCAGCAGCTCTGCTCCAGCCTATAGCATTAGGCTATCTGGTGAAATCTGTGACCCAGTGTCTGACCCAGCTCAGCATCTGTCAGAGCAAGAGGCAGGTAATTTCTAAGGACAGTTCTTGCCCTAGGACTGCCCGTTTCCCAGGCAATAGAGAAGGAAAGGGAAAGGGCAGGCCTGTGGACTAGTGTTGACTATGCTTCTTGCTCTGTCAAAGCAATTAAAGGTCACTTGTGTTGCAGCTGTGGGGTAACAAACACTGAGTCTTTGGCGTTCCTGTCACTAAAGTGGGCTGAAAGCCCTCTCTGGTTACGGTCTGGTTTTTGCTTTATTCCTATTTCATTCAGCCTCCTGGGGGTGGGCAGGCCAGACTCCAGAACCCTTTTATGGGAAGGAGTGGGAGAGGAAGCCAACTTCAGCCTCAGATGCACAGCTTGTAGGCAGCTTGGGCCCTCCAGCCCTACAGAGACAAGGTGGGTCTAAGGGTACACTAGTCATCAGTGCAAGATTTTGCGCTTCTATTTTTCAATTGGCCCTAGAGCAGGGGTCAACAAACTAGGGCTGGCAGACCAGTTTTGGCCACACCTCATTTGCATTCTGCCTGGCTGCTTTCAAGCCACAATGGCAAAGTTGAGTAGCTGCACCATACTGTATGGCCTGCAAAGGTAAAACCACTGATGGGCCCTTCACAGAGTTTGCCTAACCCTTCTCTAGAACATACTCAATCTTGTAGATTACAGGGCCCCAGCAACAGACTGATCCAATTTTCTTTTTTTTTTTATATGAAGGTGGGGGAGTGAGGTGGAGAGTTCAATTCCCTTTTTTTTTTTTTTTTTGAGACAGTCTTACTCTATTGCCCTGGTAGAGTGCAGTGGCGTCAGCCTAGCTCACTGCAACCTCAAACTCCTGGGCTCAAGGGATCCTCCTGCCTCAGCCTCCCAAGTAGTTGTAACTTATAGGTGCACACCACCACGCCTGGCTAATTTTTCTATTTTTCGTAGAGACGGGGTCTCACTCTTGCCCAGGCTGGTCTCAAACTCCTGACTTCAAGCAATCCCCCTGCCTTGGCCTCCCAAAGTGCTAGGATTACAGGCATGAGCCACTGTACCAGGCCTCGATCCACTTTTCATTGTGAGAAGCCCAGCTACCTTTCCTGAGCTAGCAGGGAGTACTTTAGGAGGGCATCTGCTCTGTGTCCCCACTTCCAGAGGTGGAACATACCTATGCAAGAGGCCATCGGGGGCTATCTGTTGCTGCTGAGGTTTCTGACCTGCCGTCTTAGATCTGACACCCTAGACCAAGCAAAGACTCAGGCCACTGACTCCCTCCTGTGGGGTAAAGGATTAGACTCATACAAAAGAATGTTTCTGGGCTTCTGTCTACACTAGGCCCCTGTAAAACGGAGTTCCAGGAAGCCCCCTCAAAAATGTTCTGGTTTTTTTGGCCTCCAAATTTCCATCAGCTAAATAGAGACAAGCAGGAAAGAAAGGGTCTGCTAAAGCAGTGGTCCCCCAGCTTTTTGGCACCAGGGACCGGCTTCACGGAAGACAATTTCTCCACTGACCGGGGGTGAGGAGGTTGGCAGCCTGTCTCCTAACGGGGTTGGGGACTGCAGTGCTAAAGGGAACCTATCCTAAAGAGAAGTGACCTGCAAGGGCCTGTTCACTCATGGTCTCCAATGAAACGGGCCCAAAATGATGCCTGTCGGGAAGAGTGGAAGTGGGGTCCCCACGAGGAGTTGCCACAATCGGGCAATTACACTGTTTCTTCACTTCAGGATATCCATGCCTTTCTTAAAAATCCTACTGTAACACAGACAGCTCAACTAGCATGACTGCATTTATTCTTATAAATATGCAGAGCTGGAGAAGTATAGGCAGGAGTGCTATAGAGCAGTATGGAAATACACCCCTCTCCCCAGGGGACTGTCACCTGCAGAACACCCAGCACTCTGAAATAAGGCAATTTGGCTCTGGGCACCTTGGTGCCTTTATTGGTGGTATTTTGGTATGTGACCCTTGGCCCCAAACAACTGACCATTTCTACCTTACTTCACTGCACACTGTCCCTCCAGGTCCCTGTAGCTTTTTCTGGATGCGTGAGAGAGGGAGACAAGGTCTCACTCTGTTACCCAGGCTGGAGCACAGTGGTACAATCACAGCTCACTGCAACCTTCAACTCCGGGGCTCAAGTGATCCTCCTGCCCCAGCCTCCTGAGTAGCTAAGACTACAGACATGTGCCCCCACACCTGGCTGATTTTTGAAAATTTTTATGGAGACAGGGTCTTGCTATGTTGCCCAGACTGGTCTCAAACTCCTGGCCTGATGCAATCTTCCCACCTTGGCCTCCCGAAGTGCTGGGATTACAGGCATGAGCCATGAGCCATGAGCCTGGCCCCCTGCAAGCTTTTTCTGCAAGATAATGCCTTCCTACATGGGGTCAACCAGCTTTGAAAGATCCTTTCCAGGGACAGCTGCAGCCAAATACACCAGTGTTGATTATTGCAGCAACCACCCAGAGGGCTTTGGTTTTAGGGCCCTGCCCTCCTTAACACTACCAGCTGCCAAAATGCCCAAGCTACTCTGCCCTAACTCCCCCATAGAAATGTGGCTCCACACTTGGCTTCCACAGCCACCTTCTGGCCCAAACTGGGTTTCCCACTACCACTGTCTTTCTTTATATTGTCCTGATCCCTTTCCACATGTATACTTCACATTTACAGAACCAGGAAGGCCTGGACAGTCTCTGTGGATGGGGAAGGGGTTCGGAATGGAGATGGTCTTGCCCTCTACAGGCATTTGCGCAAAGTGCTCTGAATGCTGGGCACCTGGATAGAGTCGCAGAGCCCCAGTCCAGAAGAGAGTAACATCTGCCTCCCTACTGCCCCGACCCCAAGCTGGCGTGCCTCTGGTCTGTCCATCTCCCTCCTGTGGTGCTGCTAGCTAGTAGAATCAATCAGCCCTGAGTTATCGTATATTCCTCGCAACCTTCCACAGTTTGAGAGAAACACAAAGATAGGTGCCCATTAAGTACTATCCTCACAAGGATAGCTGTCTGACAAATAAGGCCTCATCTTTTTATCTGACCTTCTCAGTCTTGTAATCACCTCTTGTAGAGCAAAAGGAAGCCAAACCATCCCTCATGTGCCTCTCGTGGTCCCAGGACACCGAGTGAAGCAACAGACCGGACACTTTCCCAGATGGGGCCTATACCCCGATTTCGACTACCATGCCCCTTGGGCTGGGAACCCTGTGTATGCCCACTGAAACCTCACCATAGCTGTGGGTGAGACAAAAAAAAAAAGGAACTACTGAAAAACTAAATTCTACAAAGACCTGGTGTAGCAAGAGATGCTATCCACAGGGTCAGAGTAGGGGCAGTCACGGGAAATTATGCCTGTTTCTGCTGTGTTCAGGTTGGGGGCTGAGAGGCTGTGTTACTCCCAGAAGTTTACTGTAGAGCTCAATACTGAGTATGCACTGTGAGGACCATGCTGTGACCAGAACAATCTGGCAATAGAATGGTGCATGCTGGAATGAGGGGAAGCCCTCTGCACTGGCAGATTGATCTCAGGCAGGGGCCTAGGAGCTGGCTTAGGCCTCTCCTCCCCATCCTGTCTGTAAGCCTCTAGGCCAATGCCCACACCTACTCTCACCCACTGCTACTTCCCAAAAGTTTAAAAAGCTGAACAAGTAAGGTGGCACCAGACTGCTCCCTGCAGCTCCCCCTGCTGGTAATAACAAAAACTGCAGGCTTCTGCGGCTAGCCCCCAGTATCTTCAACCCAAGCTTTAGCTGGACACCGGGTGAAAAGACTAGCCGAGACCAAGGAAATACAAATAAATAAATATGTACACGTTGGAACAGTTTTTCTCTAACTAGGGAAGGGCCCACCTGCATCACTAAATGCATTCAGAGAGTTGGACCAGCTGGGGATGCCCCAGGTCCAGGGATCCTGGAAGCCATGATCCTGTTGGGTCATTAAGCAACCTGCTGTAATACCGCATAGCTAGACACGCATAACCTGAAGAGGGACAAAGGGACTCACTTTACGCTCTCTTAAAGCTAAATCCGTAACCCATCTTAGAGCTGGGAAGAGGAGGAGAGCATGCGGAATTCCCGAACTGGTCTCAAACAGATAAATTCTTCCAATTCCCAGCTACGACCCATAAAGTGCTATTTCCTGCCTCCATACAACACTATCCAGCATAGACTGGGCACAAAAGCTCTCTTTTTTCCCCTCCTAAAGCACCATGACAAATACCAGTCAAGATGGCTGCAAGTGTTTTCTTTTGCCACCTTTGTCACCCACCATGAAAATCAGAATTCCTCTGTTCCTGCCCTGATTAAAGTGGCTTCTCCAAACTGCTCCAACAGCAGACGAAAACTGCAGAATTCTACCTTTCACCCAACGGCCCAGATGGGGACCTCTGGCCTGAGAAGCACCAGAAAAGTGCTACCTGCAATGTCACTGACTTCCCAGAGAGTCAGTGCCTCTAGTGACTCTGGGCTGACAGCAGTTCCCACTGCATTCTGTGAGCTATGAGGGGCCAACAGGGGTCTGTAGGCCTCATGGTGAACAGGGCCCATCTTGGAAGGTTATGTCTACTGGAGGGTACAGGAAGAAGAGTCCCCAAGACAGCACCAGCAGCAGGAGCATGTTGAAGAGGCCATAGGCTTAGGCGGAATGAGGTCTAAGTCCTCGTCATCTGGAATCTCATCCAGGTGATACCCATCCTGGAGCAGCTGCCGGCTCACATCCTGGTTCACCTGCTAAGAGAAGGAGAGGAGGGAACTAAGCCAAAATGCAAAGCAGAAATAACTGCCCCAAAGACAGGCCCACATTCCCTTACCAGGGCTTCCTGTCCGTGTTCCACTCCTAGGCCAACCCCACACATCACTGAACTACAGGAGGAAGAGCCACCTTCTCCTAGTTGTGCCTTACCCAGCAGTGAGCTTTGGCTTCACTGGCACTGACCCCCACAGGAGCTGTTCTCACTAAAGATCCTTAGGCATCTGATACAAATATCAAATTCCAGATTATGTTTGAAAGGTAATGCCCTTACCTTTCCCACTGGGAACCCAGACTGATCCCTCTCAAGGCTGAACATGGGACAATGATAACAAAACAATGCTCCAAAGTAGTGGAAGAGTATGGGTTACAATGGAACGGGGTGGGAAGCAGCTTTGTCTATACTGCCAGTTAGACGTGTTATCATTCAGTATCAGCAGAACTAGATCCCTGCAAAATGGAACCTGTCAGCCTGGCATCACTGAGCAGAAGGAAAATAAATGGGGCTAAGAAAAACTGTAGGACTTCCTCTGGTTCTTTAGTACATTTTCTTAGTTTTAACACTTAGGCACTCAAGGAGGACATAATTTGCAAACTGCCTCTATTCTCTTTCGCAGAAACTCAAGAGATTAGCCAAGGATTTCCAGGAAAATAAGAAAGAAATACCGGCGGTGTACAGTCATGTCTCCAGCACTTCAGCTCTGTCAAAAGGAGTAGGCTGTACATGCCAGAACTTTATGTCCCTGTGTTTCTGTCTGGGAAAATCCCTCTGGAAACATGTCCACAAGGCCAGCCCGGGAATGCTTCAGTCTGAGTTTCCATAGATGGAACAACTGAAGGACCAGAAGTTGTTTGGCCTGGAAGAAAGCAAGCTTGGTGGAGGATGGGCGGAGGAGGGACAGCAATGCTAACCTCAGATAAAAGACACCAAAAGAAGGGAGAGTAGAGTTACTGTGTGACACTAGAAGACAGGACTAGGACCAATGAGTCCAGGTTACAAGAAACATTTCAGATTAATAAGGAAGGCTTCTCTAAGAGCTACTCAAAGAAGGAACCGTGTGTGTGTTGGAGGGAGGGTGGGCAGCAGGGCGTCTTGGAGACAGTGAGTACCCAATCACAAGAAGCATTCAAGTAAGCAGAGGCTAGCAAATACTTAGCTGGGATCTATCAAGAGGATTCCTTTTCTAAGCTGTGGCCTAGAAGACTTTTGAGACTATTTCCAGCCCTGATGGTATATGGTCTCCTGGATTTTCAACAGCCCTCCTCAGACACCTATACCTCTGGCTGGGGGAAGAGGGCAGAGTGGAAGATCGGAGAAGAGACCAAAAGTCTGGCACAGTGCTGTGCACACGGCAGGCACCAAACAAGCATTTGGCAGTGGTGGTGATGCTGCCTGCATCCTGGCCCCGCGCAGAAACACGCTCTGGACTTGCCTCTGCAGAGGAATACCCCGAGGAGTATCTGGATTCCAGCTCCCCATCACTAGGAGAAAAGGAAAACGGTCAGTTTAGGGGGACGCTTGTGGAGCACAGCTGCAAATAGCAAGGTGGAGAGCATGCAAGGGCGTCTGGAAGACTTGTGAAGCAAAGACCTCACACCCTAGAACTCAAGCCCAGAATGTGCCTTGAGTAAAAGTGGTTCTCTCAGTTGGATCTGGTAGGGGCAGGGCCACTCTCACTAACAGTGCAGATGTAATAGAGCAGGACGGTTCCCCCAGACAACACTGGCGCTTCAAATCCTAGAGCAGCAGGATTACCTATGAGTCAGCTAACCAAGCCATCCCGGGAAGGGATAATGCTCAGAGGAGAGCAGACCTGGAATGTACATGAAGAACCTTGGAGGGGATAGAGAACAAGCAAAGGCACCAAGCCACCTGCAGTTCTAGCCAAGTCACTCCCCAAGGGATGTTTCCAAAGGAAGAACTCACCTTTCAGAGTCGAGGGACACCAGGTTTTCATCTGGACTCTGGCTAAGAGCAGTGTAGCCCCTGTTAAACTTCACTGACCTGAGGGGAGATGGAGAAGAAGAAACCAAGCATTGATGAAAGCACTCACATTTCACAGGAAAAGCCAGAGTCCTTGCCGCTTCAGAAAAAGAACTGACTGCACTACTCCTGACTTGCCTTCCACCTGGTCACACAGCCACCACTGCCTGCAGCTGCATGTACATATTCCTCATTCCACTCCTCCTGCCTGCCCTTGAGAAAAAGCACACCCCTTTCATGAACCAGGAAAAGCACTCTCCCCCCGCCCACCTTATTTAACCAGATGACAGAAAAACTGCAAGTCCTTGGGCAAATCCCTCCCCCTCTCCAAGTTTTAACTCTTACCTGTAAAAGGAGGCACTGGATAAGGTATTATCCAGCTCTAAGAGTTTACTATTCTGTTTAAAAACAGAAAACAAAAAAACAAACGGCACTAGCTATTCCCACACTGCTCTCCATCCTCACTCCTGGGGACTCCAGCCATCATTCTCGTCCCTAGCTTGGAAACTCAGAGAGCGAACGATCCTGTGCAATGACAGAACTCCCTATTCCAAAGCCCTTTCCCTGATACTATCACATCTTTAAAGGAAAAGAGGTTGTCCTTCTTCCCATCTTAAAGATAGGAACCTGACGGGTTGCCGTCAGGGGAATCACTAGCTCGGCCCTAACCGACGTGAGCACCCTTGTCTCCCGGCCTGAGTGAGGATGAAAGACTTTTCTGAAAACTATCGGCATAGAAGAGGTGGCGCTTGCTGAGACCTTTTCCCTGAAGAGTCGGAGCGGTTCGGCGAGGGCCCCAGCATGCCCTTTCTCCGCAGAACGGCCTTGGCCAGGTCCCGGTGCTTCTCTGGAAGTTAAAGGGCCCGGGTCAGCCGGATCTTCCCCACTCTGCAGTGTCTCCCGAACTCGCTCTTTCCGAACGATTTTCAGGGACGGGAGCAGCCTGCAGCTAACCCATTCCCTTTGGGGGCGAGGCCCAGCGGCGTTCCGGAGCTCGCCCTGGGGAGCCGGCAGCCCACCCGGACGGAGACCTCCCCCCACCATCGGGCTACACTCACGCAGCTTGGCCTGAATGGAGGGTGCGCGCGTCACCATGTAGGGCCCCCGCTTCTCCGCGGCGGCGGGGATGCGCTCCCCCGGCCGGAGAGCTCTGCTGCCACTCTGCCCGGAGGGTGGCCCCGCAGCTCCTGCCGCTCGGTCCGTGGCCCCGCCGGGTCGGGGTCCCCGGGCAGGAGCCCACACCGCGCGCCCGTCCGGTTCCACTGTCGCCATGGCCTGGCCCCGCCCCGCCGGGTGGCGCAGCCCCGCCCCGTGCCTAACAACGCGTCCGCCGGGCGGCGCGGTCTCCCCTTCGGCAAGATGGCGGCGCGCAGGCGCGGACGTCTCCTCCGGCCCTTTCCGGCCGCGCCGCTGGAGCCGGCCCAGCAGTTCCGCCCCTCCGTGGGGCTGGGCAGCGCGGGTTTCGCTGTTTGGGTTCACTTTGGAACTTGCAGTCGGTCTGAACCTGGCGATATTAGGCCTCAGTTCTGTCTCCAGTCGGAATTAAATACTGATATTGAGGGGCCGCAGGTGTGCGTCGCGGGCGTCCATCGCTCAGGCCTTGGCGCGCGCGCTCTCGGCGCTCCTCGCAGGTCATGTCGCCGCAGCCGAGCTGACTCGGCAGGGCTTTGCTTGCACTGAAAAGAGCCGAATGAGGAAGAGCGGTATCAGGCCCAAGAGATTCAAGGACCTTGTTGAGGTGACACAACTAGAGGCAGTTCCTGGGCTGATCGATGTGACGCCAACCCCCCTGGTTCTTTGCAAGACCACGCAGCGCTTGAGACCTTGGACGAGGCCTGATCGTCTGTAGGCCTCAGTTTCCATATTTTAAAATGGAACCAATGTCACTATCCGTCCTACAGTGACAAAGGCAAAAATAGGCGCTGGGAAGGAGGGTGAAAGTACACTCTGAGTCTGTGTGGCAGGGTATGTGTCAAGGCTCTTGACTTCTCTGGCCCCCAAGGGATGTGCTGTGGCTGGCTGGAAAAAAGCTCTATTTTTGGAGGAACTGCTAACTCTCATGAGGCCGTCCCTTGGCTAATTTATTGGCCTCCACAGAGTCGGTCAATAGTGTGCAACCTCTGAGCCCCCAGGGCCACCCAGACTGTTGAGCAGTACTATGCCTTGGGCGGAATAGGAGAAAAGAGAATTTAGGGCTGAGGTTTTTGAAAAATCAGAAGCACAAAAGGAATCCTTACTATCTGGGTAGATTCCCTCCCGCTACCACCACCCATGCATTATCTGTTAGACTGTTTTTGACCTCCAGAAACAGCAAGTTCATAGGGCTCAACTTAATATTTAATCCTCATGACTTCCTAATGAAGGGAGTAGTTACTATTGTTATACAAATCTTGTTATACAAATGAGGCTTTGGCCAATGTGGTGGCTCACACCAGTAATCCTAGCACTCTGAGAGGATCACTTGAGGTCAGGAGTTCGAGACCAGCCCGAGCAAGAGTGAGACCCTGTCTCTACTTAAAACAGAAAAATTAGCCAGGTGTGGTGGTGGATGCCTGTAGTCCCAGCTACTCGGGAGGCTGAGGCAGGAGGCTCTCTTGAGCCCACGAGTTTGAGTTTCAGGTTGCTGTGAGCTAGGCTGACACCATGGCGCTCCACTCAGGACAACAAAGTGAGACTCTGTCTTTAGCTGAGAAATGGGAATAAGAATAGAATCTATCTAATAGAATTGTCAAGTTAAATTGCAAAGTGCTTAGAACAGCACCTGGCATATAGTAAGTGCTCAAGAAATGTATGCTATTACATAAACCTTACACAGTGACATAGGATTTAGTGTTTATTCTCTCATTTGCACTCCCCAAGAGCAGACTGCCTTATTCATTTTTTTTTTTTTTTTGAGGCAAGTATCTGTGGTTAGACATTAAAAGGGATGGAGGACAGTGTTTTTTTTTAATCCTGCTACTTCCCTTTCAAGCTTTCTCTTCCCTTCTCAGAATCCACTGTCTCACGAGGTTTCAGCCTCTAGCCCAAGAACTTCTCCCATTATTGGTAGAGCACAGATAACCCAGATGGAGCCCATGAATCTGCAAGTCTTTCTGGGCTCCCAGGTCATCAGCCCCACCTTTGTCTCCACATTAGCTAGTCACATGCAAAGGCTGTGCTGTGGAGGGCTGCTATGGTTTGGAAATGGTTTCTTTGTCCCCACCAAATCTCATTTTGAAATTTGATCCCCAGTGTTGGAGGTGGAGCCTAGTGGGAGGTGTTTGGGTTATGGAGACAGATCCCTCATGAATAGATTCATGCCCTCATGGGGGAGGGGTGAGTTCTCACTGTTAGTTCCTGTTAAAAAGAGCCTGGCACCTTCCTCCTCCCCCTCCCTCTTACCAAGTGGTACTTACACAAGCCTGCTCGTCCCCTTTGCTTTCTGCCATGAATACAAGCAGCCTGAGGCCCTCACCAGAAGTTAAGCATCTGCCAGTGCCATGCTTCTCGTACAGCTTGTAGAACTGTGAGCTAAATAAACCTCTTTTCTTTATAAATTACCCAACCTTAGGTATTCCTTTATACCAACAGAAAACAGATTAAGATAAGGACCAAGCCCAACACATTTCACCTTTGGTGTTCAACCAAACTTCCCCAATGCAGGAAAATGGCAAATCGAACAATGACTCCGCAAAATGTGAAGATGGGCTGTGCAGCTAAGACAGGAAAAACCACAGTGATAGCCAGCAAAGCTCAGGAGAGAATACCGAGGCTTAAGCTATTTTCGCAAGCACAACCAAAAAAAAAAAAAAAAGATTTTAACAACTAGGACATGGCCAGGCGAGGTGGCTCATCCCTATTACTTCAGCACTCTAAGAGGCCGAGGTAGGAAGATCATTTGAGGTCAGGAGTTTGAGACCAGCCTGGGCAACATAGTGAGACCCTGTCCCTACCAAAAAAAAAAAAAATTAGCCAGCTGTGGTGGCTCAAGCCTGTAGTCCCAGCTGCTTGGGAGGCTGAAGGAGGATTGCTTGAGCCCAGGAATTTATTTTTGCCAAAAACGTTTATCTGAATTTTAATAATTAGGAAACAGGCACATGCAGATTATAGGCCATTCTATAACACAACTGGTCTGGACTCTTCAGAAATATGAACTATACACATTTTATGCCAAATTTCTTGAAACAGTATTGTGCTTAAGTAGGAAAAAAAGTCCTTATCCTTAGATGTCTGCTGAAGTATTTAGGAGTGAAAGTGTTTGCAACTTACTTTCAAATGATTAAGAAAAAAAATGTGTGTAAATATAACTGCGTATAAACAAATGTGGTAAACTTAATTGGTTTGAAAATTTTCAAAATAAAATGTAGGAAAGAAAAAACTAGAAGCCCGTTCTGTTAGGATAGAAGCCCTGCCCATCCAAGCAAAGCTATGGAAGGATCCTTATTGCCCATCCATTTCCTTTAGGTAGAGCTAGAATACATTAAGCTAAAACATGTACCTACTTTCTCTAGCACCACAAAGGGTGTGTGTTTGGGGTGGGGGGGAATAGACAATGTTTGATAAAAGTAAGAAATTTATCAGTAGACTGAATTTATCTAGTCACTTTTGCTTCTTAGTAATAGTCTTTGTAATTTAGAGTTGCTTTAAAAATGATTTCTTTTCTTTTCTTTTTTTTAGAGACAGGGTCTCTATCTGTCACCCAGGCTGGAGTTGGAGTGTAGTGGGCAGATCATAGTTTAAGCAGTCCTCCTGCCTAAGCCTTCCAAAGTACTGGAATTACAGGCATGAGCCACCATGCAGGCCTGATTTCCTATTATTTCAGATTAAGAATTGGCAAACTGGGGCCGGGCGCGGTGGCTCACGCCTGTAATCCTAGCACTCTGGGAGG